GGGCCCTACAGGCCATAAATCACACGTGGAGGTACTGGAGGTTCCCCAGGCTTTTGCCTGGGGTTCCCTGGAGTCTCCGGAGCCAGGCAACAGTTTCTGTCTGTGCTGACTCCACAGACAGGATCAAAACAGCATGAAAGAAATCAGAGGGAGAACGTCGGCAGGAGCTGGACTTCTAAAACCCCCTTCCGCCCCCATAGGGTTCAATATTAAAAAAAACCCCTAGGAGCCTCAGACACTGTATTAATTAGTGCAACCACCCATGAAAAGTTGGGTTTGGAGCAGCATTCTTTGCCCTGTGTGAAAGACCAAGTCTAATAAACAATTGTTAAGTTGGCCTGTTGCCGCTGGTAAATTACATAGCATTAAAAAAATAATGCTTTTCATATTAGGCACTAATTAAAGGTTGGGACAGCTTTAAAACAAGAGAGGGAGGGGGGAAATCAAAGAAAATATAAAAATGTTCTTTCAAGAGTTATGGGAGGTTAATAAAGTATGTCTGTTAGAGTGAGTCTGCTTTGCCCCCAGCTACAGCCAAACTGGAGCCACCACAATTGGGTCTCAATAAGATAATGATATTCCTTTCTCTGCTATTAAAAGCCTCCCAGTGCAAACTTAAAATGATTTATTTAATTTAGGAAATTATGAGGTGTAACTTCAAAGCCTGAGCCGTTAGTAATGGAAAATACCAGGTTGTTTAAAATTATAATAATAATTGTTTGGAGGACTCAGGACATCAAAGTGTTTTCATCAACAAATACAGAGGGGTCCGGAGGAGGTTGGAAAGAGTCAGAGGAGGTGGATGGAAGTTTGGGTTTGATTATTATGAACCTTATCAGGGCAGGGTTCAGGATTCCCGCAGCCTGGTCCTCTGTTCTGCTTTGAAGCGGGCTATTTTGGAAAGTAATTTTCCTGCTTTTTATTTAGTTACTAGCAGGGAGGAGGTGAGAGGGGTTTGTGGGTAGGAGAGGGTTAGAGGGGTCCAGGACTTGACAGCTGACTTTCCCCCCACTGCTCTCCGACCAACTTCATTAAAGATGCCTGCAGCATCACCGACATGGAAAAAAATTGTGCTTACCATCGAAGGGGGAAACTGGCACAATCAGCCTTACCAGCCAGGCCCTGTGATTTCAGGGAGTGTGTGTGTGTGTGTGTGTGTGTGTGTGTGTGTGTGTGTGTGTGTGTATGAGACAGGGTTCTTTTATAAATGAGGTTTATGTTTATTCCAAACCCTGCAGTGGAAGAAGGGAGTGGGGGTGGGGGAATGGCGTTCTCCAACCCGTAGCAAATGAGTGGCTTTTATAGCAAAGAATGGCCATGGGAGTTTTCATTGGGACAGACAGGTTTCTGCTCAAATGCAGGGCTCCCCTTTTCAGTCGGATCAGGCAGTCTGTGCCGGCTCTCAGCCAGGCCGCCTCTGCCTACCTGCCAGCCCTGCCCTGGCATCACCTCCTGGGGGCTGCAGTGGGGAGGATAGTCAGGCTGAACCCCTGGTTTCCTGTGATAGAGAAGCTGGGTCCTTGGTGGGACCACCCCACCACACACACACACACACACACACACACACACACACACACACCAGCACCCCCACCCCCGCCCCCACCATGTCTCAGGCATCTCCTGCGCGTCCTGCCTTTGTCACCCCCATGCCCACCAGCAGGCTCACACTTTAGGCCTGAATTCTGCTGCTGCCACTTACCGGCTCTGTGACCTTAACGAGCCACCTTTCTGAGCCTAAGTTTCTTCAGCTATAAAATGGCATTGATAACACCTTCCGGAGCGGTCTGCAAGGACTAAATGAGACGCGCGAGAAAATGCCTCGTTCCGTCCTTAGCAGGAGCTCAGAAAATGTGACTTCGTCTCCTTTTTTCCCCTCTTTCCCGAAAGCAGAACTGTCTTTCTGTCAACTTGTGGATGAAAGCGTTCGAAGCATGGGTGGGTGGGTTTGTGTGCCAGGCTTCTGACAGCCCATGCGAGGATGTCCAAAGCCGACATCCTGGCACCTTCGGCTTGAATTCCCAAGGCGCAGCTGCGCGGGTCCTTGGTCAGTCAGGGTCCTTCTGCCGCTGCAGCTTGTTAGTCGGGTCTCTGACAGCATCGCAAACTATGTCGAAGCGGGGACCCTGGTGATGGCCGCACCCAGTTCGGGGCCCGGGGTTCGGAGGGAACTCCAGAGCCCTGCGCGCCGCCGGCCCCGCAGACCTCTGGCCGTGATCTGGGCCCCCGAAACCCGGCTCCGTCCTCATCTCGGTAACCCCATCCACCTAGCAGCGCTGGAGTGCGTATGTTTGAACCTGAGCAACTCTTTTCCTCTCTCTGGGCCTCAGTTTTTCTTTAGGATTTGGGACGATTAGAGTAACGCGCAACCGTCCAGGCGGCTTGCAATCTACCCCGCCGGCCACGCAGGACGCAGCCGCATTTCGCCGAATCGCACTCTGGTTGGCGACCTCCTCCTCCCGGGGGCAAGCTGAGTCTTATCCCGGAGCCGGCGTCTCCGTCTCCAGATCCCTCACCCCAGGCTCAGATCGCCCGAGGCTGCCGGGTCCCAGCGGCGCCGGGGAGGAAGCTCGTTGGACGGGCTAATTGGGGACCCAACTTGGAGGAGGATGGCGAAACCGGGAAGGGCTTTGGCCTTTGGCAAACGCGTCCCTTAAACGAGGAAGACTGGATTCCGGACTGGGTTCCGCAGTTTGGGCTGGGGAGGCCCAGCCTGATGGCAAAGGCACACCACTTGGGGAGGTTAGGGGCGCTCCGTGGGCTCAGCTCAAGATTGGAGCGGCCGAGCGGGAACAAATGAGCCCCAGCTCAGAGCAGATCCTGGGTTTGGATCACGCTCTGCGCTGGGGCTGTGCGACCTCTGAGACCCTTGGTCTGACCCCTGAGAGCCCCCACCCGACGGGAAAATTGAGTGTCTGCTGCCCACCTCCACAGCGGGTGTTGGCATCAAGAAAATGTGGGACAAAAACTCTAGTCCTAGTACGTGCCAGGTGCAACCTTCCCACTGTGCACTTTCCGCATCAAGTTGTCTGTTCACTTCAGCACCCCAGTTCCCAGGGTCACTGGAGCCTCTCATCTGACCTTGGAAAGGCGTCCCCAAAAGCCACCTCTGATTTGTGCAACGGAAAACGGAATGCCAGGCCCTTCCCGGCCTCCCCTAGCTATTACCAATTTATTTTAGTAGTAATGCCTGGGAGCGCAGGCCTAACCCCTGTTCTGTATCCAGTGGAAAGAGCGGCTGGAAAGCAAAGGGGACTTGAATGACTAACCACCGTCCCTCTTCAAACCGAAAAGAGTATTTGTTCGTTGTCCATCTCCTGGGAAGAAGCTGGGAATGGTAAAGGGAGTGCGATTTGACACACTCCTGAAAGGGCAGCAGGCACTCCCCCCAGCCCCCCCCCCCAAGCCCAGTGAATGCATCTAGTTATCCCCATTTGCAAAGAGCTGTAGGGTTTTTTCCCTCGGCTTTAAGTTTGTTGTTGTTTTGGTTAGATGGGAAATTTCAAGTTCAAGATTTTCCCTTGTTCATCTACAAGCCACTCAGATTCTGGCGGTTCCCTCAGCTCCACTTCGAAGCTCATCTTTCACGGGAGTTTGAAAAACTCCTCATAGCAGTCCCACTTCTTTTCCATGAGTAGCCTAAGCTGCCGCAGGAAATATTTCAAAGTATTTTGCTATTTTCAATGGACGCTCCACTCCCCCCCACCCCACCCTGCAGGCTGAATCTGGCCACAGCTCTTGATTGATTCCCATTAAAATAATAATAAAAATCACCAGCTTTCCCCCCCCCCACCCCCATCTGGGTGGCAGTTTTGAGCTAAGCCCAACTAAGAACAGAGAGTGCCTCTTAAAATAATTATGAGTTGGGACAAAACTTGACTGCAATAAAACAAACGTTTAATTTAATTCAGAATAAGAGATAAGAAATAACTCTTCAATAAAATATATAAAATTATACAAGACACCCTTTCAAAGGGATAAAGTATACCGGTGGGGGAAGGCTGGGGGAGGAGAGAGATGGATAGAAGATGAAGTACCAGGGAGCTAAACGGGCTGTGTGACACCACCATTTTTAGCAAGTCAAAACATGGCTTTACCCTCTGCCCCTAACATGTTAAAAAGTATATAAATTTTCCTAATACGTTTAGCACATACAATAGGTACACACACAAAGAAAGCATGATTTTTTTTTCTTTCTGGATCTATTCATTGTTCAAGAATATTTAGCATATACGTAATGGTTACAAAACTTCTTTTAAGCAGAGAATTAACTACACCCCCCGCCCGCCCCACCCCAATCACCTTTGCAATGTGTGAGGTTTGATGTACCTAGTATTTCACAGAAACCATCCATTCCTCCCAACATGCTTTAGCTTTTCACTCTCCAATTATGTGAACTGGTTTTAGGCAACAGCCTTGAGAGGAATTAGAAAGTACTTCCATTTTCCACCTTACTCCAGGCACACTCAGGAGTCCCTTCATCCCCTTTTTATTGATCTTACCAAAAAAAAAAAAAAAGGTAAA